GGCAGAGGTGACCGACAGCAGCAAGGGGACCTTGCAAATGCTGCAGGATTGATGCCGGGCCGGAAAGACACTTCAGAGTTGGAGGCTGGGGTTTGCCCGGCATCTGGGGAAACGCCGGACTATTCTACGTAAGCTATGAGGAAAAGTTTTGGGGCTGTATCAGCATACCTTCAACCATGCAGGCTGGACATGGGGAACATGCAGCGAACATTCAGTGTGTCAATGACAAGTTGACGTTCCATCGCCGGGATGGAAAGCTGGAGACGTGGGATGAACGTCAAATCCGGCTCGCGAAGAACAAGAGGGTTTCACTGATCTTTTGACAGTATATACCTTGGATCAACCTGGTAACATTGTCTAACCAGACTCTTGGTTCACGCAAAACCTTCAAAAGAAAATGGTTATATAGTAGGAAACCCGTGGTATCCCATGCTGGAATGGCACCACCGGGCCTCTCGAAGGAAGGCACGTCAAAGATTTGTGATGCATTTGTTACTTAGCTCAAACTTGCAGCACCCAGCAAACCTTTCCTTGCCCTCCTCATTGAAACTGGGTTTTGAGGAAAGCTACTTCGATGCCTACTACATCTTGCACGCAAGGCGGCGGGGGACCCGAAACTGTCAAGGCCCGATCATTTGGCCTGACCACCCTCCTCCAGTCAACCCCTCCTCCACGGGTCCACGAACAAAATGGTTGGGTCCATGATGGTCCGTGGCCAGGTTGGAGTTGGCTGATGACGATTGAAAATGATCTTGAATGTGAATGATCCTTGAAGCTTAACTTATTTTGATGGGATGGTTCTGAGTCACTGGTAGTATGACACGTATGCATGATTGACTTGATGCGTCGGTTGGGTGGATGGGCACTCAACTCGTCCCTCAAAACATCACCTTCCCACCACGCACCGCTGGCCGATCGAATCGACTGGTTGGGTCTCTGACCCGTCATGGGTCATGGAAGTGGAAAAGGACATGTAGAGCAAAACGATTGAATGATCATTTAAGGGTGCATTTTCCACTTCCATGCCATGGACAGTATCTGCCTAAAACTTGACACGCTCACTGCGCTTGCTTGTATATACTGTTGTTTGTTTATCCTCCCACCAGTGACCTGGTTTTTTGAATTGGTAGGGGTTAGTCTTGGAGATCACGGAAGATGTTTGTAGATAAAACTGTTCATCATGGGCCATGCTCCACTTCCATGGTTACTCCGGAGAGTGTGTCTTTCCGAAAAAGTCAGGTCGCTTTTCTTTTGTTGACCTCTTGTTTCCTCTGATTGGGCGCATAGGCTGGCGCAACACTTCAACGAAACCAAGCTGACCAAAAAGGGGCCCAGCTACTTTCAGCATTTCAGATGGAATTCGGCCAAGCAAGGTGCCGAACCTTCTCACCCGAAGGCACCGTGGAAAGAATTGTATTGTGCAGATACAAAATTGCTTAATATAATTGCACTCTCTCACCGTTAGTCAGGTTTAGTTTGTATGTGTCTCCCACAGTTATGCACCTCCCACAGGCTTGGTTGGCTTTACCCTCCCAAATCACTGGCCGATCGATTGGTTGGGTCACTGACCCATGTGGTTCAGTCTTGGACAAAATTGTGGATCTGGGCAACAAGATATCTTTTCCACTTCCATGTATATTTCAGCAATCATCTTCCCTATGTTTTGGGTGGGCTTGGTACCATACGAACAACAGCACGAGCTGGTTTTGCACTAGCACGCTATCATTGTTCCAGGGATCATCACACCACACCACCAGGCGATCGATTGGTTGGGTCACTGACCCGGTTGAGGTTGGTCGTGGAAATAATCATCGAAATCGAAAACAAGAATGGCTTCCACTTCCATGACTTTTCCATCAAATGGGGCTGGTCCTGGAAAAAAACATGGGAATAGAAAACAAGATTTGGTTTTGTAGGTTTGGGTGGGGTTCGTCTTGGAAAATCAAGGCAGTGGGTGCATCTTCAGATTTAAGCATATGATGACCCTTTCTTGTAATCATGGGCATGAACAACACTACTGTGCTGGATTGGTTTTCCACTTGTTGCCTGGGGTTTGGGTGCGCTTGGTCTTGGAAACAATGGTGGAAATGGAAAAGCTACACCTGGCGTTCCACTTCCATGACTATTCTTGGGGTCATCACCACAGCACCAGCCAACAACAAGATGTCTTTTCCACCTCTATGTATACTCCAGGGATCATCTTCCCTAGCTATGTTTTGGATGGGCTTGGTACCATATGAACAACAGCACGAGCTGGTTTTGCACTAGCATGCTATCATTGTTCCAGGGATCATCACACCACACCACCAGGCGTTCGATTGGTTGGGTCACTGACCCGGTTCAAATTGGTCGTGGAAAATAATCATGGAAATCGAAAACAAGAATGGTTTCCACTTCCACGACTTTTCAAAGGATCATCTACCTTTAGGCTTGGGTGGGGGTGGCTCTTGAAATAGTTATGGAAATGCAAAACTGCGCCTGGTTCATTACGACAGCACCAGCCGATCGATTGGTCGGGTCACTGACATGGTTGGGGCTGGTCCTGGAAAAACCATGTTGGCTTTCCACTTCCATGACTACTCCAGGCGTCATCTTCAGTGGGGTTTGCTTTGGAAATAGTTGACTTGAAAGAACCTCAGGCCCCGAACGAGGGCTGCCATCAGCCTGGCGACACACGGGTTTGGTTCAAAAATGTGAGTATTGATTTCGCGCCATCTTGTTAAAACGTGTGCAACCTTCCACTGTGTCCACCTGCGTCCGTCACTTGGCGCCGACTTATGTCGCCCACCGAGGTCCTGACACAAAGAGCTTAGGATGGAAAAGTCAGACAGGAACAAACATGTCTTCCTATGAAAAGTGACACGCTGCTAGGAGCAAAGGGCATCGCTACAAGGAGCTAAGAAACTCTTTGGGGCTCCTGGCCTACTACTAGGAGCAAGGACGCTACTAGGAGCAAAGGGCATCGCTATTATGAGCAAAGAAGCTATTAGGGGCTCCTGGCTTTAACACATGAGGGCATATCTGGTCAGCCACCTGAGGATCTGGTTCTCCATTTCAATACGCAAGTATGTTCCATGCAGAGTGAATCTCTTGGGGATATCGTTGGGTGGGTTCTTCGCCCCATACAAATTCATGAACATGCAAATTTCAATGTATGGGTTGTTGAAGGGACAACCAAACATTCCACCAGAAACACTATGCAAGCCCTCTCTGTCTGTTTGTTTGTCTATCTGCGGTGTGGTGAGTGAGCTGGTTGGGCTCCTATCCCTTCAGGGCTCCTGCAAAAGTAAATATATCACCCTTATGATTGATGCTTTACTGTCAAAGCTGTTCCCGGGCTGCACTTGGCCCTAGGCTTGACCCTGAAGTGCCAACCTTGTGAGGGCATGGAGCTGACGCTGCTCAAGCATTTCTACTTGGGTCTGTCTGGAAACCATCAGCTTGACCAATCTGATTCAGCCGAGAGAATTAATGAAAAACAAGATGAGCTGGAGGGCTTAGGGGGATGGGCTGGAAGGGAGTGGGATTGGAAGCCCATTCTGAGGACAGGTTTTGGACCGACCCATTCTCATGATATATATCCCAGAGCCCTAGGGATCACCATACATCACCGTAATAAAGTGATGAAAACACGTCTCGACCCATTTCAGGCGTGTCCATCCTGCCCTAAGGATCTGGGCCCCGAAATCATGGAAGGGTATGAAAGGGTTTGGTTCGGGTCCGGTGTTTCGGTGGAGAAGGTCCGACCTCTGCCATGGAGGGCCAATAGGGCCAATACGTTTTCTTAGGGTACTGTATAGTTGGTATCACTCAAGTGTCAACCAACGTGACCTTCGCTTGATGGATTCAGGATCCTTGGCACCAGAGTCATTTTTGCCAGAGGGGCATGTGTTTCGTCACTTTTTCGAAGCAGTCGCATGACTATGCCCCTTTGGGGGACTGACCCCTGGCAGGACCCCAAATACGGACCCCACAAGGGGGTTCACCCCAACGAAAGAGAAAGCTCACAGACATGCCAACCTTCGGGTGAAGAGAGGACCCTAGTGAGTTCGACTCTCAAAATTGGGAATCCTATCGTAGGGTCGGGAGGTCACTGGATACCTCTCAAACATGGCGTGACGAGTGCAGGCGACCCGAGGGACGAGTTGACTTGTGGGTCCTTCATGACTGGGACTTGAGGGGACCCCGGTCCTTTCCGAGTGGTGAACGAAGAATCCTAAGGGACAGGTCAAAATGGTGAAGGATCTGATTCCATCATGCTGATCTAGATGTGTAGATGCCTTCAATGCGATGATGGAACACCTCTCGCGATGATGGAACACGCAAGTGAAGAACACTTGGGCTCTTTCTTTGAACAGATCGGCCCCTGCAATCCCTGGTTGGTGTTCAGCATGGTCATGAGTCACGGTCACCAAATATCTTGATACAAAACATGACAAACCAGGTGCTTCCAACGGGTCACCAATGGACAATCCTACCCTACCTATAGGTCTCCAGACAGGGCACCCAGACAGAAAGTGCTAGGAAACAAACAAGATCGATGGCTGACCCCAGCACCCTGTACTGCCACCATCGTGGCATGCTGAAACTTGGAAAACGATGAATTATCTTCTACACTCATGGCTTCCAGCAGTCACATGTCTTCGTGCCGGTTTCCGAACGGAAGAAGGATAGGGGTCCCCCCTGTCACATCCACGGCCCCGACGGATGGGACGAACAAAACCACAACTCCATGTGAATCCATGTGACTTATGGCTTGGTGGTTCTAAAGATATGATCATCAAAGAATGTGCCACCATAGATGCCAAACACCGAACACCTCTTCGGCCGATTTCCAACTCGGATCGGGTGGAAACACCTTTCGTCCCAGCAAACCGGAAAAAAACGATGCCACAGACCCTCTGGCTCAGAAAGCTCTAAGAAAGCTCGCTTAAGCTGACACTTCTTCACCAATCCTCTTGGTTTCACTGTGTGTTCACTATCCGGGTCAGCCAGGTGTCTTGGCTTCCTCTCCTTGCCCTTCTTATTCACCTCAAAATCAGCTCGCAACGGCTCCACGGTCGATGGCGACCGGGAGTTCAAATGAACTCGATGTAACAACAACAACAACAACAACAACAACAACAACAACAACAACAACAACACTAGAGACAAACAAACATACAGGCATCACTTGGCATAACGGCATACATCATCATACATATATGGCTTGAAACGCCTCCCCGGGGGGGGTTCGTCTGCCGGCTCTACGTGGGCGGATCCACACGGATCACCGACCCTCCGGAGGTTCGTTTGTGGGTCGTCCAACCAGGACACCCCCGATGGTCAGATGGCCTGGTTTGGCCCGGCCAGTCTATAAGTCCCTCAACCCAAAACCGAAGAGAAAGTCCTTCAGTCTATAAGTCCCTCAGTCTATAAGTAGTCTCCCTTTTGGTCAGAGACGAATCCATCAGATCGCCCTTCTGGGGATGTTTTATAGAATGAATCGATTCAGATCGCTTCTTGCGCCTGCAGAAATGTCTGTCTGTCACGTCCAAGTCGCCCTCCTCTCCCAGTAGACCCAGCACTTCTCCGTTGGGATCGTTGACCCCTTGTGCAGCGATGGAAGCCTGAATCGCAGCCGATACGCCTTTGATGAAAAACGCGCCGAAAGAGCGAGCCATAACGCCCGCCATGGTGCCCACCTTCGAAGCTAGGGGGGCCAACCGTCGAAACACCCTGAGGCCCTGGGCCCCCAATTTCGGCCCCGAACCGAAACCGGTTCGGAGGGCCAGCCCAGTTTTCTTCGTGACCTCACATGGATTGAGACTGGGCACTCACATGGCTGGAGGGGGTGTGAGAGAATTCCGGAACAGCTACTCGGAAGGGATGAGTTGTAAACAGGTTGAGAATATCATCTAGTTAGATCTACATGTCCTTGCATGTCCTCATTTTCTACATGGGGCTTGAGTGATGCTTCACCCATATATAAACGTATACTTCAACAAAGGGTGGGCTCCCCATGAGACAATGGACCGTCGAGTGCACCGACTTCAAAAACGACCGGACTGGTTCATGCGCAATGGGAAGGTGCTCGTAAAACAAAAAGGAAAAAACCCCAGCTGTAGAAAAACAGTCAGAAACCCTAGGATGCAAAGACAATCTGGACAAAAACAAAGAAAATGGCCTTTGAGGCCAGCAATTTGGATGCGGATCGTGGAACCATTGCTGACCAAAGCAGGAGGGATTCATGCGAGTAGGTGGTGTTCACCCTGATATCTATATCCGAGCACGTGTTTTGTTTTGACCCATCCCGCTTGCTGTTTGGGGGTGAGCCTCCACCAACGTCAGAGCCCCACATCTCATCATGTGCTGTCGACAGCTTAGCTTTGTGGCCGAACATGCTTCATTCACGCTTGAAATGGCACTATGCAAGCGGCTCCAAAAAGGCAAAACGTTCCAGGAGTCATAACGTCGGCCCCTGTCACATCCACGGCCCCTGGATGGGACAAACCAAACCACCAAAGCCTTCATGTGACCACCCATCACCCTGAAAGCCACCGCCCCCCCACCTTACACCTTACGCCGCTCGGAGCGTTGTTCACTCCCTTGTTCATCCACTTTTGTCAAGGAGCCCATGGCAGACTTGCAGGTAGTAGACGATCCTTGGAGGTCTTAGGGAGACGGGGCGAGCCACCAAGGGGATCGAAGGAAGGAGCCACCAAGAAGCTGGCGAAGCGCCACGAGGCCAGCAGGGCCTTTAGCCATGGATGCTTGTTCACCACACGTGGCTCGTTTCCTTGCACACGCGCTTGGCTGTTTGGTGCTTGGAATACAGGACTGAGCCTCAGCTCAGCCGAGCTCCTTGACCCACCTGATCGTTGGGATTCAATCGGGTTCATGCCCGACACCCCGACACCGAGCTGACGGGCCGTGTGGCGGTGTGCCTTTTTGGGCCACGAAACCAGTACGGTCCCTTCGGTACTCCGGCCGTGGTTTCCTCAACATCTCTCTATCTCTCGCCAAGGCCAGGCTTGGAACCACGCGCCCGAAGAAACGAAGGCTGGTTGGGCTGTCAACTTCCTCCTCCGTTACACCCCACCCTTGCTGTAGTGGATGAGCTGGTGCAACAAAATGAGGCGACAGCGGGGACCGGTGGTTACTCTGATGCTGGAGATGTTCCATCAAATCCTAGCCACAGATTCCGCAGTAATATCAATCAAGGCAAACCCAGACTGAAAAATAGAAAACTAACAGGGTCCATGAATGATTTCCTGCCTTCAATCACTGGTGAAAGAAGCCATCAGTAGACTTTTGCTTTCCGGGGGACCGGACTTTCGCTTGGTGATGCCTTCATATCATATCCGCTTCACTCAAGTCCGAGTGGCAGCAATGTCCAAGCATAGGACCTCGTCCCAGCAGAGCAAACGTCGCTGCGCCCCGCACATGTTGCGCGGTGTGAACGATGCGTCGCTTGAGTTTTCTGATGTCCGAAGAGTTTCTTTGACAACTTGGTGCTTCAAGTGGTGGTTGTGCAAATACCGCTAATTGGCAGGGGAAGATTCTCAGAATTCATTGAACATTCCTCAACAGAACACAGCAGCTGTGTCAAGCTAGAAGCTTATAGTGACATCCAACAAAAGATTAACTTACGCACTGGAAGATTGATACGGACCCTGAAAACCCACTGGTGCAGCTGGGGGAAGCAGTCGTCTTCCTATGTCTATGTCTTCCTTGCAGGTGCATGCCATCGGGTGCTTCTTAATCAGACTCTTGCAAAGTTCCCAGCAACTTATATAATTCCCGTGACTTGAAGAAGTACCCATAGGCCCTTGCCCCACAAAAAAGTAAAGAGACCACGGACCACGCCTGAGAGAACATCCCAAAAGATCTCCAAGTTGCAAGTCATTCTCTGTCGTCTTTTCTTTCCTCACTGGTTCCTCCACCCCTCGTCTAACCTGTCTCTGATCCCGGACCCCCCCGGACCTCACCCGCCACACACCCGGACCCCCCGTGCTCCGCGAAGCGAAGGAACGAGAGGCCGCCGTCCAGCACGGAGCCTCGGTCGCGAGGGCGCGAAACGGCCCGGTCGGCCGGGTGGGAGGCTCTTTCGTGATAGACCTGGAAGGTATGTGTGTTTTCGGTGGTGAACGGTGGTGAACAGGGGGATGTGTTCGGTGGAAGGGTGGTGTGCGGTGCATGGGTGCTTGATCAGTGTTGGATGCGAGGTCTTTCAGGCTTGAAAGTATAGTTCGTACTGTATACACGTTGTTTGACTCGGTTTCACTCATCCAACAGTTTGGATGTGAAGATTCTGATATATTCTGATTCCCACATGAGCAGGATATCTGGAGAATCGTCTACTGTCGGCTTGCGACGAGGCTCTGGGTGGATGCTATTTAGGTGGAGGCCCCAATGAGAGCTGACATACCAACATAAACGTCCTCCAGCCATTCTACAACCAAAATCCTGTTTCAACTCTTCCCCATGCTAGGGGATTCACCCAGCTCGGGCAGAGAAAGAAACACTTATACTACCAATGAGTCATGGGTCCATGGTCCAGAATCGGCAGGGAAGTCCAACAAGCGAGTGCCTCTGCCAAAAAGAAGACAGATGAATCTGAAAAGAAAGACTTCAATCAGAATCCGAATCGGTCTCTCAGTTTGTTTGGCCCGAAGGTCCTTTTCATATCGAAATTCGATGAAGTGGCGCTCCACGTCTAGCCGTCCGTTCGACCATTAGAAAGCAAATTGGTGGACCTGGTTTTGTACGATATTTGTTTTAATCCTTATACGGTAAGAACCATTAAACTAATGGTCCTGGTGTGATATCCAGTGTTCTATTCAACCCTGTTCGCTGGTGCCTTTTCGTTCTTTTTCGGGGGTGCGCTCTCGTCGGGTCCTGAAAATGGTTCCCAATTGCGCCATGGAAAATTGGTCTTAATTTAAACAAAGCCGACATACGCGGACCAAACATGTGCTAGTACAACCTGACGTGGATGGCATGGTGCCCTGAATTGAAGACGACTTTCCTTTACAAAGAGGAGGGTTTTCCACGAAACCATGTGTTCATCGGAGTGTAAGCTTGATGAGAGGGGGGGCTGCCCCACTGAGAAGGAAAACCGACCTTGGCCCGGTCAGAACCACTTGCTCACTTGCTTGTGCCACCGTTCCCAGTGGGAATCATTTGGGGGGGAAGGGAGGAAAAATCCTCATGAATCCCTCACAAATCTGAATCCTGCCCAAAGAACCAGGGTTTTCCATTTTCTTTGGTCGCGAAGACTGGATGTTTCAATCCTGGGAGACCTGCAAAGAAAAAGGGGCTCCTAGAACACCCTGTTCGGGTGCCCTCCGATGCCATGCTCAACGATGCGATGCTCGGCTCAACGTGCAACTGGCGCTGCAAGGCCATGGAAAAAAAAAAAAAACAGTCCTACAGTTCTTTTCCTGCGGTATTTGAAGGATTGAGTATGCAATTGAGTGCAAAACAACATAAAGTTCCAACATGTTCCAACAAGTCTACCTATCTACTGACCTTTAGCCTTTAGGTCCTTAAGAATCTCCTACCAACACCGGTCGGCCGGGTCACAGTGGTCCGGCTTCGCCCTCCGCCCCACAGCGACCGCGTCCACTGCTCATCCAAGGCACCGACCTCTTGCCTCTTGGCCCAGCACTTCACCGCCATGGCCTCCAGCGACCGCGGAACCGAACACCACCGAGCGAACCGAGGAGTCTCTGAGCGTTCACCGCTCCGCTCGGCCACCGCCCGTCGCCGCTCGGCAACGCGCCACCACCGCTTGGTGCCGTGCCAAGTCACCAGAACGGCCAGCTCTGGCATGATTTCCACGTAGCTCCTGACGGACGGATGGACTCTCGCCATGCGCCAGTGGGATGCAGTGGGCTGGGATGGCAGCTCTTCGCTTCATGGTTGAAGAGATGCTGAAAAAGACCGGTTCTTCGTTCGAACCGACTTGATCGACCGTCGACAACGTCCAGAGATGGATCTGAGCCCCGAAGATGGATCTGCGCCCCAAAGGGTGTCTTATTTCGCCTCCACCAGTTCTTTGCCTTCCCTTCGGTGGACGCCAAAAGACCTCCGGACTGGGTCCTGTCCTCAAGAGGAAGGTGTTGAAGACCGGGATCACGTTGTTGCAGCTGAGGTCCAAATCCACTCCACGGCGCACCTAGCCGGGTCTCCCGAAAAGAAAAGAAACGGTATTTCTGCCCCGGCAGCATGACCGAAAGGAGCTCCCAGCTCTGAGTCTCAAGACACAGAGCGAAAGGATCTGCGAGCGGAAGGATCTGAAGTGGTGAAAAGAGTGCTCCAGAACCTGAGAAACCCTTGGCAGCCGTAGCATCCGGAGCATGGCTTGGTGTAAAATCCCCAGGAAAGAATAGGCATTGTGGCGCGAGCTTCTGCTGCAGTATTCGGATGCGGACCAAAGACATCCAAAGACCAGCTTTGTGTCCCAGTCCAATCCATCTTGAGACCAAGCACAGAGTCTTGGGTTGTTCAATGTTCCAGTCCACCTTGATACACCTCTGGTCCAACCAGGGTGCAACGAAGTCCACGTTCCAAACTGAACGCACGTTTTGATGAATCATTCAAGAGACGGTGGACGCAACACACCACCAGGATCAACCAGGTGTTGGTCGAACTCACGCGCAGGATCAAACGGTGGACTGGTCGGGCCCAGGTCTGCTACGCGGCATCCCCGAAGTCGAAGCTCCCATCGAATCACATCGACGACCGAACCATCGATGGTATGAAATGGTCGGACCTCCGGAATTCCAGGGTCCCCACATATACCGATAGATGTTCCAAGCATTGCCCAATTTCTGCCGGCTCATCCCATAAAACCGGCCAAAAGTATATGTAGTATAGGTGATTTCACCCGCTCCAAAGTGCTTCGCCAAGCTTCAACCTTCAGAAGTGGAATGCCCCAGGAGGGGATGAACTCCGACTTGGCATAGCGCCCCTTGCTCACCCACTTCCTAGGCTCCGCCGAAGGGCGAGGGCCCATGGCGAGGCTCGTTTCCTGTCGTGTTCACCGGTGGGTGCGAAAGCCGTGTTCGCCGTTGTTCATCCGGGCGAACCCGGAGACGGCCGTGCTGGATCCCGCAACTGACTGGGCTGGCGCCAGGCCATCTTCCAAGACAGGTGTACGAAGCAACCTGATGACACGTTTCAGGGGGAAAAAAAAGAACTCGTTGGATTTCAGTGGGGCACACGTCACTCGTGGGTGCCACCTTTTTCCATCTTTTTCCCCCCACCCGCTTCTGTCGAAACGTCACGCGACGGGCCGACGCCGACCTCTTCACCACGCCGACCTCAACGCGACCCCTGGAAAGGTTCGCTCTGCTGGTTCGCTCCGCGGTACTCGGCGTACTCGGAAAGCGGTAGTTGGGCCCCCTGTTTGGGGTGGTAAAAAGATAGCTGTATGGAGAAGACCGTGTACAGGGTGGAAGGTAGGTTCAGATAGCTTACTAGCTGTCTTTTGGATCAAAAAAGAATAACCTCTATAAGGAGCTATTGGATTGGACACCCCGATGGGCCCGATGGGCCCTGGTCGTTGGGTGGCTCTTCCCATCGGCCCATCGAGCCATGGGTCAAAGGTGGAAGTGGACCTGACGAAGAGTGGCCTCTACCAGGACCCACCTGGTCTGGGTGCTATCAACGGACAGGGGCTATCAATAGACCCTGGTCTGGGTGCTCCTGGTGCAAACTAGATTACATGTATAAAACGTATAAATCAGTGGTTTTCCACGTCCCATCTTAGAGAGTCGGAGTGGTTTTCCATCTCATTGCATCCCTCTTGCCTCTTGAAGAAAAGAGACTCTCATGCTTCTCTTCCTCTTCTGCCAAGCATCTGTACTCTTCTCAGCACATTTCTGTCTGGTGGAGCCGCATCCTCGAAGAAGACACACGCATCCACATCAGCACCTGTCATGGATCTCCTGGATCGCATGGATCCGATCCGTCCTGCGTCTGGGACACCTTCCCTGCTCCAGCAACCCGTGAAAACCAGCGGAGCGCGGACGCGCGGAGCGCGGAAACGGGCGCGGAAGGAGCGACCCATGAGCAACTGCTAAAGGTTCATTTCACCCTCATCTCGTGAGGGGTCGAAACAGGTCGAAACAGGTCGGCGAACTGAGGGTCCAGACTCTGTGCCGGAAGTCTTATGCCCGGCATAGATGTGAAAGGATTCAAGTGGGAAGTGCTCAAAACTCCCAGGGGGGGTCCAAATACTCCCAGGGGGGGGGGCTCCAAATGTATCAGGCTTTAGTTTTTTGTTTGGACTTGATGTAGATGATCTGTCAAGACTCAAGACCGAGACTCACCAGCTGACAGTCCACTTCCTTCCACAGCTGGTCAGCTTCCTTGTATGCAAGGAAAGATCCTTTGGTCAACGGCCTCCCTGTCAGCTCCCAACGACGTCCTTCGTCCAGACTTCGTCCAACTGTTCATCCAGGTCGCTCTTCTTTCATCGGGTCCGCGCGCTCCCCTCTCGGATGGAGACCCTGTTACTCCCAGACCAACTCGTGAGGGATGGAGATGAGCAAATGTGACTCCCCAAGAATCTAAGACCAATCACTTGCATGGAAGACCAATCATCGAATGGAAGACCCATGAAGGACCAATACCTGTGATCAATGGAAGACCAATCATCAATGTTCCTTCACTTGCCAAGTGCGTGTGGTCGCTACGGTGAAGCAACCACTGAGATGACCACATGTCTTTTTTCGTGCCATCCAAACGTGAAGTGCATGATAGCACGCCTCGGGCACCGCAGCCTGTGACGCAGGAGCCGAAGGGCAACATGGAGATCGAGGCCCTGAGCAGCGTCGCAGTCCGCCGATCGCGGCCACGGCGCGGGCGGACGCGCGGTGAAAGCGCGGCGCGGGCGAGCGGCACGGCGAGGACGCGGATGGGGGAGTGAACCTGTTCAGTGCCACGAAAATGGAGGCTGAGAAGTGGGATCGAGTGACAATATGTGACAATATGTGACAGTGGTTGACCGTTGAAGTGGGATGGCTATACTACTCTGCTACAGTCGGACGGTCGTTCTTTCCATGGTTTTGCTACTCGGGGGTTGCGGTTGCAGGTTCTACAGCGTGACGTGGCTGTGTCTTCGGGCGTCTAAGGGGCTAAGGAGGCGCCGAGTAGTCGCGCTGCAAGTGGCTGGACTCATCAGCCCTAGCGGCCCTAGCACAACTGCTGTCTGCCCAAGTATGCTGTCTATCCCGGGCTCTCCCCTCTTCTTTGATTGACTGCGCCCGGGTGACGCTCCAGAACCCCCTGTCAAACGGATGGAGCAAATTGGCAAAGATCCAAGTCGGGGGGCCTATGTAGCGTGGTTGCAACTCACCTGAGAAGCCTGAGACCCCCGGTTTTGCTGGTGAAGAGCATCTGGGTCATTCTGTGCCAACTCCGAATAGCTTGGGTCCGAGTATAGAGTGCAGTACTTCTGTCTTCATTCTTGGTCTTCTACCATGTCGCTGGCGATTCCATCGGCCCTATCCCATCGACTCTGCATGGAGCTCGCTCGTCTGCGGCCCAAGACGCGTGCGATTCTGCAAAGCCTTCAGCGTTCGGGTACCTCGGGGAACACAACGAGAAGCGGCAAGGGAAAAGCCCAGTCCAGCAGAAATCCATATTGGCAACTGGGTCATGGCACTGCATGGGTCATGGCGACCTGGGGTGTTTTTCCCCACCCAAAATGAACAGCAATCGATTACCAGCCAGGTCGACCGTCCAAAGTTTGGAGCTCCAGGTTTTGACCCACAGCAGGATGGCCATTGAGATCCCATGGGTGGCCCGGACTGGGTTTCGTTCCATCCAGAACTGTTTCTGGTTCAAAGTTCCAGCGATTTTTCGGCATCTTGGTCTAGGTCTTCTTGCAGGGACCAGGTCTTCTTGCAGGGTCTACCCAAGCCTTCGCCGAGCTATAAGAGATGTTACATGATGTTGCATGGTTTGGAAGCAAGCTCTCGTAACGCAAAAGAGTTTTCCAAGAGGGCAACAAATCACTTGCTAAACTGGGCACACCTGTTTGCAAGGATAAAACATGTTTATATAAATCCCTTTACAAGCATTTGCCAGTAGAGCCCTCACGTGTTGCGCAAAGGAGGTTGTTGTTGAGGGTCATATGTATATATATATATATGCATGTATTGCTTGCCGGTCAAGGGTGCAACCCTATCCCCATATCAGAGAGAAGATCTGGTCCAACCACCCGTGCCTGGCTGCAGCCAGAGGACTATTCCTGGCAATCTCCAGGAAGAGAGATAGCAGCTTTTGCTTCTCTTTCACCTCCTCCGCGTTTTCAGGTTGGCAGGTCCCATTTTTGCTGCAGGAAGCTTGGACTAACTCCGTCGCATGGCTGTCCCAGCCTGGTCCTTTGCGAAGGGTTTCACCTCTATAGTCTATATATAGTGGTTTAGATTGGTTTAGTGAGAAATCCCTTCTAAGCCCAAAGGACTTCTAAGGGTTCCAAGAGTACGCCGTGTCTTTTTTGGACAGTCAAGGTAAGAAAGGCATGTCAGCATGTCTTATATTTCTAGAACACCGTTCTAGAGTGGGCGGTACCGTGACTGTCCCGGTTTTTTTCACCCAAAACGCTCCCAAACCCGCCCCGAGCTGGACACAGCAGTTTCAGACCAGGCGTTCACAGTCAGGTTCATAGGCCCCAGATCCAAGAAGGGGGCCCCCCTGCTCTTGGCCTACCAGGTCTACCAATCAGTACGAAGATGCTGGGATTCTTACAGACCAGGTTAAACATCGGAAAAGGGTGCAGGTTGATCAAAAAGACCTCTCCAGAACCCCCATGTTATACCCTCAGTGCAGTGATGCTGAACTTCGAAGACCGTCACCCATGATCCCAGGCGTTGCACCGGATCCCTGCCGAACGAACGGCTGGTTGGATGGATGAAAAAGGCAGATATCCTTGGCATACTTGGAAGATCATGGCCGGTCTTTTTCCAGACACCAGCAGAAACACCACCTGCCAGGTCCACTTGGAACCGACTGGTGACCGAACGAGCCAGTGAAGGGGGGGGTCAGAGAGTCGCCCCAAGGTGAACCTGCGCACAACATGGCAAAGATCGTCAAAGCTTGGAGGTCGATACTGTACCCTAGGTCCAGGACCATGCTGAGGATAGGCTTGGAGGTGAGTACGTACGTCCTGAGAATGGTCGTTGCCTGGGGCCTTTCAGGACATCCTCAGGATGGTCCACGTAGTCTTTGGTCCCACATCTATATCTGGTCCCACAAATTTTTGGCAAAATTCCACTCCACTCCATTCAGACACTGGCCACCAAAAACACCGACCACCGATACGGCCATCGGGGGTATCGATGGCAAGAGCATCCTTCGGATGTGGAGGCGGCGCGAGCACCATCCGATGTCTCCTGAGGGGTTTGCTTGTTCTCCACTGCAAACTGCATCAAGTCCTCAGCGAAAAAACAGCCAGAACTATCCAGAACTGGTGAACTTGTGGATTCGGGTGGGTGGATGTGGGTGGTGGATGAAGGGGGGAAGACACAATGAAGACTCATGGGGGTTCTGGGAAGGGTCAAATTCGTCTGTTTCTGCGGTAGACTCTTGTGGCCAGAAAAAGAATTCCGAACCATGCCCAAACCCAAAAGTGTCTCCCTGTATCGTGCAAACGTTCTTACCGCCGGCACGTTCTTTCTACACGTGTTGATTGTTGCATGTGTTTCACCCATCTCAAGAAAAGCACGCCTGGCACGGAGCTGACTGAGTTTACACTACAAAACCAGGTCCACCTGTTCTTTGAATGGTCTTCTCAGAAGGCCAAGATCCACGGACCGAACCTGGGACGGTAGGCAGGATCAGAATGCCGGCATCTGGCTCACTATGATCCCTACAGTCTCAAGGTGTGTTCTTTGTTTTTGGGGTTCTTCTCTTCCCACTCCTTTTCCTGATAGACTGGTCCATTTTCTTAATGCTAAGTATGTTGGAACATTGGAAAAGGTTGATCTATTCAAAATTTAGGGAGCACGAACGAACAGCAAAATCCGCATGACAAGGTGAAATACCCAGGAAAGGGCCGCATCCAGGACTGTTCCAAGTACCAAGTACCCAGTGTTCGTGTCGTTGAAGTGATCAGACGCAAGGCTTATATACATAGCATTCCATAAGAATGTATCCTCCACCTGGAGAAGCTCTTTCCAGCTCAAAGGACTGGATGTTCCGGATCTTCCCACCGCCCCATGTACTTCGGCCGAAAGAAAGGGCCCACCAAGCCGTCCGAGAGGCTCCGGAGAGCTGCAGTTCTTTCTTCAGCTTCGTTTGGGGCGCTTCTTTCGCTTGGGGCGTTGCGAAGAGCGGGCGTCGCAGCCTCTCATCAAGGCAAAGAAGACTCAGGAGCACCTAGGCGGTGCTGAGTCAAGCATAGAATATATGATAATATAGGGTCCGTTTTCCGTCGTAAAAAAGATTGCATTAACATGTCATTTTTCAGATGCCATGTATTCGGGGACCCCTATATGTGGAGTGAGCCAAACCACCAGTTTGAGGAACATGGTCATCCTAGGCATGGCCAGGCATGGCCAGGCATGGCCAGGCCATCCAGGTCGTCAGCTCGTGGCTGGTCAGCGAGTCTCTCGGGCCCACAAAACGGTGTGGCCGTTAGTGACTACACTCCCTAGAACTCACATGGAAGTGGATGGCATGGCCCCGTAAGGAAGACCATTTTCCACTACAAACAGGTGGTGAACTCCACGTAACCATGTGAGTTCCAGGGAGAGTACTCTCCTGCAAAGCACTGTTGGTTGGTCTTCGGAACATGCTCGAAACCCACGGGGTGACTGCTCAGGATCTTCCAGTGGGTCCCAAACCCCGAGCGGTCTCAGAGGGATGAGGAGGTATTGGACAACCGAGGCGGCCTCCGAAAGGTGAATCAATCTCATCCACCCAGATGCTCATGGACCCTCATCGACCCCAAGGGGGGGCCGTGGATCCGAGGGGTTTGGGGGTAAATCCTGTCCTAGATGTTCACAGCCAGCCCGTGGATATGCTCAGCACCTTCTTGTTCGAAAGCAATCACCTCACCAATGATTCCAAGTATCCACCGCTTTCCATCGCTTCATGCGCGGCAGTCTGATGTAGGCAAGTAGTTGTGCGGTTTGATCATTCAGATGCTCTTGGGGAGCCTCAGGGGTTTAAAGCCATTGAAAACCAGCTGCCTACTGTTGGTTGAAGAGTTCTCAGTAAATCAGAAATTAAACTAAGACTAAGATGATATTCCAAGTTCAGGCTGTGGCTCCTGTTGACGTGAGCCACATGGAGCCACCACCCTATTTTTCTGAGTCATCGCTCTGGGTTTTGAGTGCGTTTGTGAGGTGAAGCTGGGCGAGCAGCCAGTCACTTATCACACCTGCAGTGAGCTGTTGACCTCCTTTCACATTCAAGAAACTTTTGTATAGTAATGTGGTCGAGACCAACAAGAGAAACAGAATCCCATCTATGAGGAGAACTTCACCTTTTGTGAGTCTGGTCTGGGTGTCCTGTTGTAACGCACACATCCGTTTTCTCTTTCGCTCATTTCAGCACAAGCCGAACTGCTCAGGCCACGCCGAAGCCGAAACGGCTGAGTTTCGCTTCGTCGAACCGCGCGGCGGTTCGGACGCACGGAGACGGTTCGCGTTTGACGCGTCGAGCCTGTTCGCTGGGCCATAAGGTTTTGTCAGGCGAGTTGCTTGGATGTGGGTTCTTTCGGCATGCCAGAGTGGCTCTCAAAACCTATGGCATCTGCCCAGCATTGAACATGAACAAGCTATTTGCTAAACATGAATCACTAAATATGACCAAACTAAACATGAACCACTAAACCACTAAACATGAACAGGGAGGTTTCGGGAGCTCCAGCCACTTGGTCCCACATGCAACTCTCACCAGACGAGGTCCGCATCCCTCAGCCCTTGGCAGAGATGGAATTCGGTCAACCGCTCAGCTCGTCGAGGTCGTTGGAATAACCAGTTCATCCGCTGCTCACGACGGAGACAGCGAGATCGATGTTGAATTTGGGAGGATCACCCAGGCCATGGATTTAATACCGAACAGCCATAAATTGTTCTACGGATGTTGCCAACGACCAGATCAATAATGTTAAAAAATGGTCTTGGACTTCCAGGGTACAGCAAGCCACTCGTTCCACCAGATTGCCAACCAGCATTGCCACTACCAAGGTTTGCCTATTTCATGTCGGATTTGCTGTCCCAGAAGCCGGGAGAAGGAAAAAAAAGAAACAGCTTCCCCATGCCAGGGATATTTCACGACCCTTTTTGTTTAATTCTGTTGGAATGTTCCTCAGGGCTCCTGGCCCACCTCCGTTTCGGTTCGGTGGGCCAGGGGTGGGTGGGTGCCCAGGGGGGGGGTCGATCTAACCACCGGTCACCGGGTCGGGTATGGGCCAGGAGCCCTAGGGGTTCTTATCTGTCATAACTTGTCTATACCTCCACAAGCGTCGGACCCAACTAGCTACACCCAGGAACCGGGAAAGTCAAGACTGCATCACCCGACAAAGCAAACACTGTAGTGACTACTCCCTCGGGCGTTTCGCTTTCCCCCCCTTTGGGAGGGTCCCCCATTTAGGGTGCCCGGAGTCCTCTTCTTCTTCTTGTGTGAACTGGACCTCGGGCGCGACCGAAGGCGTGACGCAGGCTGGTGGTTTGGGTGGTTTTGGGGGGGGAACCACTCCCACCGAAGTCAGTGGTGGTGGAACCAAAAAAATAAAACACCATTCTGGGCAGCCGGAACCCGGTGTTTTGGGCATGACGACATGGACACACAAAGACAATGAGCCTCTATGGAAAATGATGGAATGTCTTCTGCATTAAACAATCAGTGTGGTCCGTCTAGTAAGACCCCACACCAACCATATCCGACTAGGTAGCGTTCAGAACCCTCATGAGACTCATCAAAACTAATCAAACACTTATCAGAAAGCAGAAAGCCTAGGGCGTTTGGGGGGGGGTTTTCTGTCCAATGATCTGGGAATGTGAGCCTGATGGCCGCCTATGGCCCTCACAGTCAGTGGATTCCAGTGGATAAAATGATGGTTAGACTACGGGCTCTCTCCAAACAAGTGACAAAGGCTATGACTGTGCAGGGGCCAGTCCCAAGAAGTGTGCAGGTGTCAGAGTGTGGGTCTCTCAACATCCCTTGGCCTGAAATTGAGTGAACTCCAAATGAACTCCAATTACCATACAACTTTTATACAAGAACCAGTAGTTCGATGGAGTTGGGTGCCGGTTCCGAGTTCGGAGGAAGGAGTTGGGGTGGTCACATCAAAGATCCACGGCCCCTGGACCAAAAACCACCCAACTCCATGTGACTCCTGGTTGTTAGGCATTGTTGGACTGTTACCTGTTGTTATGCACATGATTTGGGGACTAGAAACGATTCCTTTGGAGCTGGCAACTATACCTGGCAACTATACTTTGTGACTCCTGGCAGATCTTTCGGGGAAAAGCTGGATTCAACGCTCCCTCGGCGGTTTTGGTCATCATCCCTCAGCCGCCCGGCGAGGAAGACTCCTCGGCTGGCTGGCTGTTGACTGGTCAGTGAATCGAAGAACCGCAATGGATCCAGTAAAACCACTACTTGAATTGCCTGAAAAATAACATATTCACGAGAAGGGGACTTAACCATGGGAAAAAAATCACCTGAAAAACCAAGACTGGACTATAGTACTAGGTCACCAGTGGTTTCAAAGATTTAAGCTGTAGACCGACCGAAACCCGTCTGGATCTTTATATGGATTATGCATGATTATGCAGTTGTAACTGGTAACTGAGATCCACTGGGTACGAGTTTCATGATTACTTGCAAACCTCTCACTGGTTTGGCGACAGCAAAAGAAGTCTTCCAGGATCCCCTTAGAACCCAAAAAATCATCATGGCATGTCTTCTTCCTCGAAGGCCTCCAAGCACCCTTTCCAATTCACAGAACCGTCTCTGCGTCCTTTGAGAAAACCCTCGAACCTGCATTCACTGCACAATTCCACCATTGGAATTGTAAAGCACTAAAATCTAATACTAAGATCATCTAAGTGATCATGCTGAGTCTTTTGAATAAGGTCAATCTAGTAAGTGATCCAAAGTTTTTGCAATTCCAAGCACTCCTAAGCGTGGTTCATTGCCGGCATTCCCCACGCGCGCGGATCTCCTCGTCGGAGTCATCGGAATCGTCGCTGTCGCTGTCATCGCTGTCATCCTACGCAACGGCTCACAGCGCTGCACGGTCCTTCTCACGGCCCACCAAAAAGGAAGGGGTTTAGCACTTGTAGATGATTACACATAGGAAAAAAATAAACAGATTATCAGCTAAACTGTTCCAGGATGCAGCAGAAGCAGCAGCAGCAGCTACCAAGCAGCAGCAGAAGCAGCAGCAGCAGCAGCTGTTTCTATCTTTGGGGATCACTATAGATGATGTTAGATGTGGCGGTATCGAGCTCCGTACCCAACTTAACCAACGTTGACTTAGAACCTGAAACTGGACCCATGAAAAGACTGCCTCTTCTAAGGTGTGGCCTCTCCACCAAAACGATTTGAAAAGGTTTGTCGGGCCTTCCTTGCGCGGGGTGAGAGAAACACACATCTTACGCATCTGATACAATAGCTTATACAGTAGAAACCTGCTCTCGGTGGTCGCCGCCCCTTTTCAATGTTCATCCTCTTTCGGTCGACCCAAAAGAATGGATGCCCATAGCGAAACAGCTCCTTTGCCACAACCAGACCCTTTCCGCCAAACCAAGAGAGGTTCTACAAGTGACCTGAAAAAGAACCCGTAACCTGCGGATAGTCTATACCTCGATCTTCCAACTGTGCCATAGTTCTGCCGAACTTCATCCATAAAGATCAGCCAAGGTCGGCAGACCAAACGGGCATAGTTGGAAGATCCGGGTCTACAGCAGATGCCTAAAAGCTGAGTCTGACCTCTATTTTGGACCACCAACCACCCAAAATATGGCCAAACTTCCTATCAAAACAGGGGTCAAAACAAGGTTCCAGGTCTGATCTCGGGAAGAAAGCAACCTTCAGGTCCTTCCACCTCTCTTGGCTCCACCTCTCAGAAAACCCTCAGGTTTCACCCCCACCGCAGCGATCTATCATCGCCTCGGAGCTCGGCAGAGCTTCGCCTGACCGGTAGCGGTCCGCGGCGGTCCGCGTGGCGTGGAGGTTCGGATAAGAGACGGTGATGGGTTGGGTTGGTTGCCTTACGTTCGTAACAAGTGCCTTACGCTACGTTCGTAACAAGTGCCTTACGCTCGGTTCGTAACAAGTGCCTTACGCTACGTTCGTAACAAGTGCCTTACGCTCGGTTCGTAACAAGTGCCTTACGCTCGGTTCGTAACAAGTGCCTTACGCTCGGTTCGTAGCAAGTGCCTTACGCTCGGTTCGTAACAAGTGCCTTACGCTCGGTTCGTAACAAGTGCCTTACGCTCGGCTCGTAGCAAGAAGCTATTAGTAACAAATTCTAATTGCAATTCACCCGTTTGGGCTCCTGGCCCCCATACCCGACCTGGTGACCGGTGGTTAGATCGACCCCCCTGGGCACCCACCCACCCTGGTAGCCCCACCGAACCGATGGCCGGAGATGGGCCAGGAGGTTTAGGGTAAGAACACATTGGTTGATTGGTTGGGCGCCTCCCTACGAAAATGAACCTCCACGTTTCGCCCGAGAAGAAGGACCAGTCAGAGGTCTCCACTTTGACGACATCGATCGGATCGTGGATCGAGATTCACGATCCACGATCCACCGGGACGTGATCCAGCTCAGAGGGACCAAAAGCATCCAAAAGGCTGCCCAAGATCGGGTAAGCCAGGTCTTCTGTTGAGTCGAGATCCAGGGAGCGGATGAGGAGCGCTGACCCCCCTCCACAGCTGTCCGCAGAGCTGTCCGCTGTCGATGCCAGGATCCCGGACTGGCTTCATCCTCGTCATCATCGTCTTCTACAAACTGGTCCAGCTTCTTCTCTTCCTGCGAGTCGGCATCCAAAAAGATCGAAACAAACGAAAAAGCACTGCCCCAATTCCGCAGAAATACACCAAATCCTTCTTTACTACCCATCTTTGTTGCGGCGCTCCCTTCATTTCCGCACCACTTGCCGCAGGATTTGGCTCGGAGGCTGCTCGGTCCGACATCAGG